GAAAACATAGTAAATTATAACATAACCTCAAACCAGTTCACGTTTTGTCTGTTTTGCTTGATACATTTCTTAAATTATTAATCCATTATTGATTATGGATTTACAAATTATATTTTCACCACTAATATTTAAAGGAGAAAAATCAAAGTGTGGTATTAATAACTGCAGAACGATATTGCCACAAAAGATTTCAGGACACTACGCTGTCTTAACAGGTTAACAGGTTTTCTAGGGCAATAGGATTTCTTAACCCAGTAGATGTAGGGTAAAACACACACACACACACAGCCCTGTGTCAGCCTACAAAGGCCCTCCATAAAGAGTACCCTCCTCTCTCCTCATCATCAGTCAGTATGAGGCCCAACAAGAGTTGATGGAAGCAAAGAGCCAAGCGTTAACGAGCTCTGCCAGTCCTCTCGCTCGCAGTGTAGGAATCAGCCTTCAAAACCAGTACGATCAGACAATCACTTAAACCCCTTTAACATCACTTTAATGACATCTACACACGCACATACACTGAGAGCTAGTGGTTATGTAATAGTCAGGCGGAAGAACTGCAGGAAATAACCAACATTTTTTGATTATTATCTTGAATGTGATATATTACCTCCTAGAAGACTAGATGATCACGATTTGAGACTTTGAATAATATAATCCATAATTATGGACTAATGAGGGCACATAATATACTGCATAATTGTTTTGTTTGATCCTTGCTCCAAATTTGCAGCATATACACTTTCTCTTCAAGAAATCCTTTGATGAGAGAACAAAATCAGGAGCATCCGGCATTAATTGAGGTAACACACATCATTTCATGTTTCATTTTCTCAATCCACTCGCACACAATCCAAAAAGGACCCTCACAAGAATGAGGTCTTTCTCTGGGATTGCCTCATAAACTGCCTGCCCACCTCTCTCATCTTCTCTTCTTTCACATACATAGACACACACACACACACACACCCATCCTCTGCCTGGGGGCCCCATTAGTCAGGGAAAGGGGTGCATGGCGCAGTGCATACAACCCACCCAAACACGACGAACTGAATCCATTAGTCCACGCTGTTACGTACATCACTGAAACGCAAGCAGGCCCACTCAACTGTAACATGCCAATATGCTCAGCTCTTAAGAACTATGGATGGAAACGGAGTAGTGGGGGATGAAAAAAAGTGTAGGTAGGAGGGGAAAAGCAATAAGGGCCAGTGGTAAATGGGGTAAAGTAAACTGAAGTACAATGAAAAAAGAAAGCTTGTGGAACTGACTCAGAGGAGTATTTAAATAAACAACAGGTGATACAGGGATGAGGGGTGGATGTAGTGTTTGACTGCCGTTATTTTCTTCAGCCAGGCAAATTACCCCGCTTAAGGGGACAGCGGACTTGGAGAAGTAGATGTCAGTGGTAAATGCGAGGCAAAAGAAAAAGCCCCGTGGCCTCTGGTTAGTTAGTGTGATGTATGTCGCTGAGAGCTGAGGAGGGGTGGGGGTGGGGAGGTTGGTATCAGTGAAGATGGGCTGCTGGAGAAATGATAGGGGACAGATGAGACAGGCGCATTGAAAGGGGGAGCTGGTTTTGTTCATGTGTCACTCGTTCCCTCCATACCATGACAACACCATGTGGGCTTCACAGTTCCCAAGAGACTGTGCTGATGTCTTCTGTCTGTCAGAGCCACCAAGCCACCCACCCCCCCTCAATTACTTAATTCACTATCTTTAGGTGACTTACTCATTATCTCTGGTCAGGCAGGCTTGTCATTGTACAGCTGGGTGACATATGTGGATCATTATCACAGATATTTTTCAATAAGGCAGATGTATGCAATATCACATATAAAATGAAAAAGACGTATGTTCAAAAACAATGAACTGTCATCCAGCATTGCACATTACATCAGAATAACTCTTCACTTGTATAAATAACTCCCTTTGTTCATTTTAAAGTAAAGTTTATCATTCATTTGGAGAAAAAGATAATGTAATTTAATCTTGTGTGATTTAGCTGAAAATCTGTGACTTAATGAACTCACTTGCTAGGGGTAAGTGAGTTCATTCAGTGAGTAGAGAGACTATGACTCCACAAGGACTCTGAAGCTATAAAAATCCGGACGGTAAATTCTAGAAAAGCTCCTTTTATTCAATAACTACACTTGAGGATCCTTTAGTACAGCAGAGCTGCACACTGATCACCAGTACAAGACTGTGGTGGACCTCGTCCTAGTGCAAGAGCATTAATACAAGAAGGTATAGAGGTTAAAAAAAAGACTCATATAGATCCTTGTAGAGGCAACATTAAGGCCCCATTATGTAACTTTTCTACTGTAAAAACAGTTTCTAAATCATTTTGATGCTACACTGACTTGTAATTGGGTGAATAGTGCCTCTCTGCCCCGTACACCTGTTCTTGTACAATGTAACTTTGATTAACTTACATCGGTAAGTTAATCACTAAGCTAGTTGGCTCAGTCCATGCTGCCCGGAATGGGAGCTCAAAACACTGGGGGAGTGTTGGAATATATAAACCGTTAGCAAAAAGCTTTTGACCACAGGGAGGATGTTGTTTCCATGCCGAGAGGGGGATCTGGATCCGGGTGAGCTGACAATGTAACCGGGCTCACCAGCCTCTGCGGACTTGGCAAGGGTGAAGAAATCCAGGACAACGTTTACGGAGGAAGTGAAGAAGAGAATTTCGAAGAGGCTTTTAGTCATGAAATAGAAGGCTGCAGACAGACGGCGAGCTGGCCTTCTTGCTGTAAGACTAGTAGGTTATATTAGCTGGCTTGCTATGTCTTGCATGACTGTGTTAGAAAAGTTGTCAACTCACTAGTTTTTGATGATAAGTAATGTAATCATAACAAATGCACATGTACAACTGTCCATTGGTACAACAGTGGCATTGCACTGGGGGCGCCCAATCGCAACAAATACCAAATCTTACATAGTGTTGCTTTAAAATGTTGTAAAATTATTACTTGTAGATATAAATGATGAATGAAAAGGTTGTCTGACCTGACTTTACCCTCGTACTGTCCGTAGAAGAGGTGCTGCCTGCTCATCCACTCCGTCATGACGAACTCGAGGGCAGGTTTCCCCGTTGGGCCGGGCAGACTGCACAAGAACTCCAACAGAGGCTCCAGCTGGGAGTGAACCAGGTGAGCAAACACCATGATCAGAGACTGTGGACAGAAGAGGAGGACGTAGTGAAGGTAACCGCAGCACCAGGTTATCAAACACATCAAGAACCGGTTCGATGCTCCGGCCCCATACCTGCATGACACTCAGAGTCTCGGCTTGCTGCATCTTGCTCAGAATCGCTCGGAGGATCTGGTCCAGCTGTTCCCCGAGCTCGGTTCCTGCCCGAGAGATCAGGGTGGACACCAACCTGCCCACGAAGGCGGCTGTGAACTCAGAGGTCCGGGGGTCCAGCAGCTGGTTGACCACCTGCATGACATGACGTACCAGAGGCCGCTCCTTCCCCCTGCTCCGTCGCCTCCACTGAGCGACCTGCTTCGAGGCGACGGAGAGCTACGCGCGCAGACGACTCGCCGCCGTCTGGAGAGGGAGGAGGGAAGTGAAGATGATAAGACGTAA